CAATCGGATTCGGTAATTTAGACGAGAATCTAGTGTACGAGGTATTGAAACACGTCGACGCAAGAACCTTGGCTATGTCTTCTTGTGTGAGCAAGATTTGGCACAAAACAGCTCAGGACGAGCGGTTATGGGAGCTGATCTGTACTCGTCACTGGGCTAACATCGGCTGCAGCCACCACCAGCTCAGATCCGTCGTTCTTACGCTTGGCGGTTTCCGACAACTACACTCACTCTACCTCTGGCCTCTCTCTAACCCTAATCCAAATCCTCGGTTTGGTAAAGACGAGTTGAAACTATCACTCTCTCTTCTCTCTATTCGATACTACGAGAAGATGAGTTTCACTAAGAGAGCCACATGATTTCTTTTCTTTAGATGTTTGAATTTTCTTGTTTGTAACAAATGCAAGTGTAAGAACAGTTTCTATTTCGAGATACTTTTGTCTGTTTTTGATTTCATATGATAATAATATATTGGTGTGATCAAAGAATGAATGTCTCAAATGTCGTCGATAACACGAGAGAGCTTCTGAATCCGGTTCAATAGAAAGTCTCCTTGTTTGATGGTTGATTGGTAGAGTGCGTTATTCGCATCAGGGCGGTTTGTTTCGAGAACGCCTGCGACTTTGTCGATCTTGCAATGAAGTTTACCAGCTGCAACGAAACTCGATAGCTCACTGTAAAACAAGTAGAGACCTGATCGGTTATGATTCAAAAAGGTTTTGGTTAAGCATAGGAAGTTAGTTTTTGCTTACTGGTCTATGAAATCGACAGACACCAAATGTGTTTGCCATTGATTCGATTGTCACACTCTTGTAGGACTCTAGGAACTGAGTGTAGACTACTGCTCTAACTTCCCTCATGTAGAACCGGAAGTGCGGGTTAAGGTATCTGTCGAGCTTCATCTGTTCCGCGAGTCCAGCTGAGAACAAAGCCCGAAAATGAAGTTCTTCTTTTAGTACAAGGTAAAACACAGAAATGAACAGTTTGCAAATTTATGACTAAAGTCAAGTAACTCATACCAAATGCAGAGAAGAAAACCTTGTACTGACAATTGTACAAGGAGTTTAGAAACTCCGAGAGGAATGAGATTTTTCTCAATCACCGTTAAGATTTCAGGCGCGTCAACCACCTGTCGATTTAAGTAGAGCTAGTTACAGTTTGCCCATTTAAAACTGAAACAGTATAATGAGAACAATTCAGATATTAGAGCACTGAGACATACCTTTTGCTTCAGAGAAACTCTGTCCAAAGTTATGATGCTGGTGAGGGCGGTGTAGAATATGAAAGTCTCATATGGGAAAAGCTCATATGTGGTGAAAGTTGAAATCGAATCCAAGACCAAGCTCGCTGCCTTCTTAAATTCTCTAGTTGACAAGCAATACAAACCCTCGTAGACCTCTAAACGGTTCTTCCTTTCCCAGTCACCTCCTTCTTCAAACAATCAAACAGTGTAAGCTCAAAGATCTTCAGTTTATGCTAATCTAATGAGGGTAACTGTCACTTACTTGTTTGCTTTATCAATGCTCTTTGATATCAGATCGAAAGCCATATAGAAGAAAGCGAGTTGTAGTGTGTAGAAGACAAGTCCATCTTCTGTCCCACGGCAACAGTCTTGCCTTTAGTGAGTTTTAATTGCTCCAAAGCTTTTGCCTAGTTTTGACACAAAGAAGAACACTGAAAAATGTCTAATGAAGTGCAGAATTCTTTAACTAAAACAGACTCAAATCACAAACCTTGTCACAAATCCTAACGAAATAGAGCGCCTTAGTGAGATGAGCTTCACGGATTTCACTTTCGCCCAAATTTTCTTCTGCATCTACAATCCTAAACAAAAGGTTAAGGAAATGAGCATCTAAATATCAAATCAGAACAGACTCTACACAAATTCTGAAACATGTATAGTTCATGACATAGTTCGGATAATGCCTACCATTCCCTGTATCAGCTGCTCTTAACACAACATATAACAACAAACAAGGAAATTGAAAACGAAGCAGCACGATTCCACCAGAATTGTCAACAAGGAAACTTACTTCTCATGGAGCTTCTTAAGCTCCTCACCGTTACTGGCACGCATAGAATCAAGCAAGTTTTGATCCAAATCCAGAACTGAAGATGCAGTTAGGGTTTCGTACAAGGGGGTCATATCTACATTACAAGAAAAACCAAAACAATTCAGCAACAGAGCAAAAAAGAACCAAAAATGAGGAAATCGAATGTCACAGAATTTTGGAGTAAGTAAGAAACGTAACAGTGAGCTTTGAGGATATTGAAGACATGAGACTTGAGAGCGAATTTCTCAATGTCTGGCACATCGGGATGAGTAAGGAGGAAGAGATTGTTGGCAAGAACAAGGTGAGACTGCTGAGTTTCACCATCCATGGCTGCTAGAGAAAGAAGATAGAGAGATACCCAAAAAAAAGAGTTTGCTTGGGAAAAGAGGAAGAGATCATCAGAGTGACATATATATAAAGCTCCGAATAGAACGAAGCCAATTTTAATTAAATTTATTGGAAATAAACAAAAATTCAATCTATTTTCTTATTAATAAGATGATTTTTTTTTTCTCTATTATCGGCAAGATTAATGTTAAAACTTTGAAAACTGGAAACTCATAACGAAGAATTTTTTTAATTTTTTGTTATAGCTAAAAAAATAAAAAATGGATGAGAGATCATAATTTTCCCTTTATGAAAGAATGGTCGTACAACCTGAAGTAGTGACCTTGCTGATCTCTCTCTGTGAGATCACAAAAATTTCAATATTTCTTCCTAACAAAACTAAACACATACCAAAAGACAAAACACAGCGTCTGGTGGGTGCACTACACAAAAAAAAAACTCTTGTAACTTTATGAATACAACCAAATCCAGAAGAAGAGACACAACACAACACACTCATGGTAGAAGAAGAATAGTAAACACCTTTTTTTTCTTCAGATCATAAGAGAGACTCCATCTTCATCATAATCAAAACCTCACCACCAATAATACACTAAAAACCCTCTTTCGACCGTAACCCCACACGGTTTCATAAAGCTCTCTAGCGATGACGTCTTTTGCTAAACTTCACAAAAATCTCTGCTTCTTTGTTTGTATAAACCTTGAAGCAAAGCGACTTGACTCGAGAATCTCACCAAAAAATAATGTTGTGCTTGATTGACACCCATCCATGTATCAGACTTGTGATTGTGGTCCAAGGATTTTCAAGTTCATATAACAGGCACAAGAATACCAGCAG